TGTTGTGTCAATGATTTCAGCTGTGTTTCAATACGGACCACTGTCTTGTTGCCATCCTTATTGTTACACACCTTCTGTTGGTGTCTTGAGTTTGGTAGGGTTGGTCCGACCTATACAGACCCAACTATATATAACTCATGATCTGTTAGAAACAAACAATTTACAGCTTTTCATTATTTCGTATTATTGTCGGTTTTTGATAATTGGGGGAATCATTTGGGGTATTTTCATTATGTGGGTAGCAGTTGGGTATTTTGCGGATTATATAATCTGCAGTAGGGAGTTATTTTGTCATTAAGCAATAAACTACAGAAAACCCAAAACCTAATCTCTCTCTCTCTCTCTCCCCAGCGCCGAATTCCCTCTCTCTTTCTCTCTCCCTTGGCCGATCGGCAGCCATCCCTCCCCTTTCTTCTTCCTAAAATCCCTAATTCTAATCCCTAGCTTGATCAATCCCTAGTTGGTCAGGCTATTTTCCCCAATTCTACAACCGTTAGAAACTTTGTTTCTAACATCTGGTATCAGAGCCCGGTTTCGATCGGTGAGTTCTGCTCAACTCCATCAGGGACAGCATAGAAACCGGAGAATCAACGATGGTAACGACGAAATCCATGAAGGCAGCAGAGAAAGCGGAGAAGGCGAATCAGGCTGGTGATGACGAGGTCGAGGGGTCTGTGGAGGATCTGACAGGGGTGGAGGAACTGAGGAGGGACTTGGAGGCGCAGGCGCGGAGACAGGCGCGGGTGGAAGAGGAGTTGGGGGAGCTGCAGGCGAGGGCTAGGGATCAAAACCGCACCCTCGAGGCCTTGACGGCAGCGGTGGAATCGCTGGTGGGGCAGGTGAGCAGCCTGACAGAGGCCTGGAAGAGAGGCGGGAACGGAGGCGGTGGGGGCGACCAGCCGCCGCCGGAAGGGACGGGCGCACCGGGGGGAGGCTCCGCCGTGGCGGAGGAACTCGGGGGACGAGGAGCCGCGCGGCTTCCGGAGGGCAAGGGGGCGGGCGGCTCAGGCGAGACGGGGGGTGCGGCGGTCAACCCTAGCCGGCCAACCGGGTCGCGTACGGGCCAAGTCACCTTCGGCCCATCGGTCAAGGATGGGCTTCTACCGACCCCATCGGCCCAGGAGAGGGCGCGCGCGCGAGGCAAGGCCAAGATGGCCGAGTACGTGGAACCGGAGCTACAAACGGGCTTGGATGAAGAGGAGTTGATGGGCTTGGAGCAGGAGTATGACCACGAGCCGTGGCCTAACGAGTTGAATGGGCCCGGGGAGGATTACAGCAGGGATGAAGGAAGCCATATGGGCCGAGCTGGGTTGGAAGTCGGACCAGGTGGGAAGGGGCGAGGAATGGGCCACGGCTGGGAGGCAGGCCGGCCGAACCTCATGGGCCGAGGACCTGTGGGCCGGGCCGAGCATGCGGGCCGAGCCGGGCCGAGTCGGGGCCCGAGTGGTCGGATCGAACCCGGTCGGACCGAACCCGGTCGGACCGAAACCGGTCGGACCGAACCCGGTCGGACCCGAGCCGACCCGGGACAGCAGCTTGTGCGCACGGGGGGAACGGGCAGCAGAGGATTTCCAGCCCGTCCAGGTCAGTTTGACGAGTTTAGTGGTAATCAGCCCCCGTTTGTGAATCAGTACGGCACTGGGGGAGAATTCATGGGCTCAGGAACTGGTGATCAGAGGCAGAGAACTGAGATGGGCCGAGGACGGGGGTATCAGGAGGAGGAGGAGTGGGAGTATGAAGGGGGACACCGGTACTCGCAGCATTATCACCGCGAGGCCCCGGGGTGTGGCAGGCATGCTGGCCACTTCCGTGGTGGTGAAGGGGAAGATGAGATGGTGTTCCGAGCTAAGCCCCCAACCATTGAGTTTCCAAAATTCAATGGCAGGGAGGATGCAGGTCTGTGGATATACTCTGCAGAACGGTGGTTCAAGAACCATCCCACTAGAGAGGAACGGAAGGCTCAGTTGGCGTCCTTCTATTTGGAGGGGGATGCATTGCAGTGGTGGGAATGGATGGAGCGGACCTACGCTGAAGCTCGGACGCTGATTACTTGGCCGATGTTCAAGGAGGAGTTGAGGTATCAGTTTGGCAAGTCGGAAGGGTGGGCCCCGGAGCAGTTGGCGAAGCTGCGCCAGACTGGGACAGTGGCGGAGTATCGAGCTGAGTTCTTCAAACTGGGTAACCAGTGCAAGGGCGTGCCGGAGGAGACTTGGGTGGGTCTATGCATGGCGGGACTCCGCCCAGAGATCGCAGCAGCTGTTCGAGTATTTGAGCCCGATTCACTTCGAGCTGTTTTCCGTCTTGCAGGTAACAAGGAGGAGGAGCTGGCTAGCTGGAGGGGCGTGATAGGCCGCTATCAGAAACCGGCCGGAGGAGGAGGCAGTGGTATCAGCGCTAGTGGAGGAGCGAGCGCAGCTGCATCGGGGTCTGGTTCGGGAGGGGGTGCGGCGGCTGGCCCACCTTCGGCTGTCATTCGAGCGGGACCAAGGCCACCGCCCAAGGGGTTTAGGACGCTATCTCCTGCAGAGATCGAGCAGAAGAGGCGAGAAGGGAAGTGTTTCAACTGTGACGAGCGGTTTACCTTTGGTCACAAGTGCGGGAAGCCTGACTTGATGTTCTTGGTGGGACGATGGGAAGATGAGGCGGAGGATGAGATGGCGGAGGAATCCGGAGCAGAGCAAGAGAAGCCGCAACCTTGAGGACAAGGTTGTTTCCCATGGAGGCGGGGATGTTAGAAACAAACAATTTACAGCTTTTCATTATTTCGTATTATTGTCGGTTTTTGATAATTGGGGGAATCATTTGGGGTATTTTCATTATGTGGGTAGCAGTTGGGTATTTTGCGGATTATATAATCTGCAGTAGGGAGTTATTTTGTCATTAAGCAATAAACTACAGAAAACCCAAAACCTAATCTCTCTCTCTCTCTCTCCCCAGCGCCGAATTCCCTCTCTCTTTCTCTCTCCCTTGGCCGATCGGCAGCCATCCCTCCCCTTTCTTCTTCCTAAAATCCCTAATTCTAATCCCTAGCTTGATCAATCCCTAGTTGGTCAGGCTATTTTCCCCAATTCTACAACCGTTAGAAACTTTGTTTCTAACATGATCTTTCTCGTCCTTCAACTTTTTCTCCTAAGATATGTCAACGAGGCGTTATCACCCTATAACTTGTTCTCTCTCCATTTTGATAAATTTGCTAATCTATGTCATTGAGCACCCTCTTAATTATCATCCATCTAACTCCCCATACTCACCCACCCTATTACACATCCATCAATAATCCAAACTATATCAATAATTACCCCTACAGATTGAACCATATGGGAAATTAAACCACGGTTTAGACTAGACTGTATAGTTTGATCCGAACCGTGATTCCAAGATCACATTGCGAGTGAAGCGACTGACCCGGTAATTCAAAACGGTCTCGACATCTTTGCACTGGGGATTGAATACGAGAATCTTTCGAATCACTTGGGAGACGGAGGGAAGTGATAGCACAAAGAGTAAGAGGGAAACAAAGTGAGTTGTTGTGTATTTTAGTTTAAGTGGCATCTGAATAGAGTAGTAGAGACTGTAGTAGTAGTAGTAAGAAATCGAAAAAGTCTACTTCTCCTCTCCTATTTCTTCGCGAGTTAATTACATTCAATAAATTTTTATTTCAATATGATATTGTACACTGAAATTTTTATTTTTATGGATATCAGGGGAGGATCGGAGGAACGAAGAAGAGTAATGTTTGTTAAACATGGTTTGCCTAGTTCAAAGTGTACCAGACCGCATCGTGCAGGTGTGATCTGATATGAATCATATAATATATAATCTAGTCCAGTGGCGGAGACAAGTGTTGAGGAGTGGGGTCTGAGTACCCCACCTGGCAGAAAAATTAGGCAAAAATCCATTAGATACGTAGGTTTTATGCAATCTTTCAAACTTAGGACCACATAGTGTCACTAATTTTAGCTATATTTAAGGACTTCAATCAACTCAAACTCTATTAAATCTATATTCTAATCTCTCAATTTGAAGGTCATAACTTTGTGCTCCAAAATCCGAACGTCGTGAATTTTTTTTCATTTCGCATAACTTTTTAAGAACTACAACTTTGATCATAAAATAATTTCTAAATGTATGTGGATTTGTGAAAAGGGAAGGTAAACTATTCCCAAAATCCTGTATATTCAAAAATAATTCATGTTTTGAAAATTCATTCCTAGTAAAATTGTAGTCCTTAAAAAGTTATGCGAAATGGGAAAAAAAATTCATAACGTTAGGATTTTGGAGCACAAAGTTATGATTATTTAAAGTTATTGAGGATTTTTTGCGTTCAAGGAGTAAAACTTTGTTTTATTGTGCCAAATTTAGTAAACTATTTATTATCTGCGTTCGAACCACCACTCCCACAACTTGTTGCTTTTTTAATCTCTACTAAATAAAAAAAATTCAAATGGGATGGTGGGGATTCAAACCCAAGACTTCTTGCACTGTTGCACATAATAAACAACTACACCGGTTGTGCCAAGACCACTTATGATATTTATTCGGAAAAAAAGTATATCATAACTGCCGGGTGGGGGTGCGGTTTGAAACCAAACCGCCCCAGCCCCATGCGATCAGAAAAACCGCGCCCCCGGGTGGCGGTTTTCGTCTAAACCGCTGGTTCGGGTGACGGTTTTTGAGAAAGGCTGCTATTTTTAGAATTTCCCGGAGTTGGATACTATTTTTTAAGAAAAAAAAATTAAACAGTATTATTTGTGGAAAAAAATCCTCAATCTGAACCACAAATTCTAATACGACCTTTATCCAAACCGCACCATTTCCTACCTCTAATTACCCCAACCTTCTGACTCCCAAGCTCTTCCCCACCTTGACCCCACCCTACACCTCCCTCCCACCACCCTAATAATTTATTCACAACAACAACAACAAAAGAAGACAAGACACCCTTAATATTTTCACACTAGCTAATTCTCATGTTCACATGCACCTTCCCCCCTTAATCCCCAAAACCCAACTATAAATTACACCAAAACCCAGCCGCCTTTATTTCCCCATCCCAATAACACCAACTAATTCGTCTCTCTATACCCTAACACCTTCCCTTCTTCTCTCTCTCTCTTCTCTCTGTGCAATGGACAACTCATCGGCCACCGGCGGGAAGTACTCGACCCAAGCCATGGTGGACGGCGTCGACCGGCGGACGCCGAGCCATGATACTATTCATCAACACAAAGGGTTGCGAACCGGCGAGCTGGTTCTGAGAGCTGGAGCCCTGTTGCTAACCTTGGCCGCAGCCATAGTGTTGGGGATCAACAAACAGACCAAAACGGTGCCGGTTCAGATCATCAGCACCATGCCTCCCGTCAACGTCCCCGTCTCCGCCAAGTGGCACTACCTCTCCGCCTTCACGTAAGTTCATCCTATCTACGCTTTTTATCCGACCTGTTTGGCCTGTTTATCTTTCCTGTTTTACTTCAGTTGTAGGGCAGATGAGATATGTATAGATACTTTAATTAATTTTCTCGACCCGACTTGTTCTAATCTATATAGTTCGGTTTTATTTTTGTTACCTCGTAGTTTAGCTATTACGACCTAATAAATATGTGAAAACCTCAAATTTCGATTAAGTTAATGACATTTATCATAGTAAAGTTTGTTACTTGATTTTCTATGAAAATAATATTTTTCTTTTAAATTACATACCTATTGAGTATCGAGAATTAAGATACTCGTTATCTGATCAATGATGAAGCTAGAAATTTGAATGAGGGGAGTTGATTTGAACTATTGTAATTAGGAGACGGGAATAAAGTTTTACTGACTATTCTAATCTCTAAATTTGAACAAAATTTACATTTAATTTTATCAATATTTTAAAATTAAAGAGCGGTACAACCCTTCTAACTTCAATTTTCTCTGGTTGTAATATTTTTTTCTGTGGTGGCTTATTTCAGGTTTTTCGTGGTGTGCAACGCGATAGCCTGCGCGTACGCCTTCTTCTCTCTCTTGCTGGCCCTGATCGGAAAGAAGGGGGCCGCGGCGGCGACGGTGATCCTGGACCTGCTGACGGTGGCGCTGCTGTTCGCCGGGAACGGGGCGGCCACGGCCGTGGGGCTGATCGGGTACAAGGGGAATTCGCACGTGCGGTGGAACAAAGTGTGCAACGTGTTCGACAGGTTCTGCCACCAGGTCGCGGCGGCGCTCGGGCTGTCGCTGGTCGGCTCCGTGCTCTTCGTGCTGCTCGTCCTGGTCGCCGTCGTAAGGCTTCACCGGAAGTATTGATATTCCAATTAATTGAAAGGACTAGTGTGGTGGTGCTCTTTTTTATTATTTTAATTCTAGTCTTTGTTATTATTGTAAGCGTGTGAATATATTTAATTAATGTTCGTTTAAGTTCAATTATTTGCAGTCTTTTGTCGTGTCTGAGATTGTGATGCAATGGAACTTTACTGGAAGCGGAAACTGGGAATAAATAAATAAATTAATAAATAATACTATAACATGAAATAAGAAGAGGAAAAAGGGGGGGGGGAAACTGGTCAAGCAACAGCAGCAGCTGCGTAACGTCTTGGTAAAGCTCATTACAGAGCAGATCCTGAAGTCAGGAGTCGTTATTAAGACTTTTAAGATCCATATCCTTAGTTGAAGCTGACAGTTATCTTATATGGTTGATATGTGATTTAGGGCTTAGGAAAGTAATTATTCAAATTATGGCTCAACGACTAATTCATGTCAATAATTCGGATCGTTGAAAGAGGTTCGATAATGGATCTTATTTACTCAATCGTTTCCTTCAAACGAAAGTTACTTATAAGGGTTTGAAGTTTGCACATATTCGAATATCACGTGCTTAATAAATAGGGACCGTAGATATTCAAATACAAGATCTCTGGAGTCTCGATGACAAAATGATGTGATTTGGGAATTTAGAAAAATAATTATACAGATTATGGCACCTCAACTAATGCAGCATAGTCAAACAATTCTTGTCTACGTGACCACGACTATGAAACAACATTTTATATAAATTTTTATTAAGAATTCAAATTTGTGAGAGTGTTTAAAACAATATATTTCGATCACTATCCTTCCCATATAGAAGGAAATAGTAGATATGCAAATGATGGCTAACCTGATACATCTACTAAGTAATACTTACCTAACATAATTATCTTGTTAACAAGAGGAAAAAGTGAAAGAATGATGGGGAAATTGATGTAAAGGAATATATTTGGATTTGGGTGGTCACTCAATTGCATTTATACTATATATTGTCTTAAGTTACCTTCACTAGCATTGATAGGTTTCAATTTGATCCATGTATTTTTTATATGTGAAGAAAATATTCTTGGTGGGGCAGGTATGGGTATGGGTATGGGGCGGGGGAGGCTAAAACCATACCCGCCCCTTACCCATCAAACTTTTTGCGGGTTTTACCCATACCCGCCCCATACCCAGTCAATGCGGGGATTCCCCGTGTTGACTGGGTCGGGGGCGGGTGGGTACCCGCGGCCATGGGTTTGATTGACATCCCTACCTATGATAGGGTTGCATCATTGCCTATTCTTAATTATTTTGTCTTTTGAATGAAACCTACATCCTCGTCCACCTCATTCCGCACTAAGATGGTAATGGTACATTGTCCTCCGTCTAGAGCAATGAGTCGAGTTTTTCTAAACTATCATCATCCTCATTTCTAAAATCGTATATTCATGAGACAGGTGAATTTGCAACTTCAACATGGTACTTATGTTAGAAACCAAACAGGAAAATTAGGGTTACCGATATGGAGCTGAGTCACGGACTAGGTCGATCTCTTTAAGACATTCGCAACACTACCCTCGTTGCACACAACAGACTATCAACCAGTCGCCTCCAGGATAAAGCAACTCATCTAAGGTGCTCTGCGGTTTTGTGCGAAAACCGGAGCTCTCTGAATACACTCTCCCTCATGTTTCTGCTCTCTGATTGTATGTTTAGAGGGTCTGGGGATTGCTTTTAGGACAATCAGTAACCTGCCAAGTACCCCCACTATGTCGGGTTTCATGTTTATCTGCCTCTCGCAGACTGTCACTGCTAGTATGTTCCTACTTTCTTACACCATCTTTAGTGCTCTTTAAAAATTATACTAGCACCATCAAAGATTTGTGCAGGTGCAACTCGTATTTCGTATAGATCTTAATTGAAAGTTAAACTCATCTATAGAAAATGTCTTTCATTGTCCTAGTCATTTGGATCTCTAAGCATAACACTTGCTTCATACATATCTTTTACACACGAGTCTTTGTACCAAGGATCGACGTGTCATTCATAATGCAAGTGTCATTCTCAAATTTGAACTAAATGCACTTGTCACTTTCATTTAAAATCATTAGAGAGAACGAGATTATTCATGCCATCGTTTTAGAGTCTGTTTGAAATCTTACAATGATTTGTCTAGACTTCCTAAGCATGTTCAGAAATAATAACCCAATATAATAGGTTGTCCCATGCAGATTTTTCTATCTAAATCATCATTAACATCCATATGATGCACAACAAAAGCAATCAGAACACACATGAATGTTATATTGCATATTGGTGAATAGATCTCAAAGAAATATATAATTTTTTCCTCTTCGCCTAAAGCCTTAGCTACTAGACGATCATTATAAACATAAACTAAATCGTCAGGTTTCAGTTTTTCTTTTAGGAATTCATCTATTACCTTGACTTCATTGTCAGGAGGTAATTCTCAAAGATGTCAAATCTTGTTCGATTCTATCGATATATTACCTAAGGCTTTACAACCAAAAGGTAACTCTACAAATTCAAAGTCTTACTAGACTCCATAGATTTCATTTTGTTAATAATGGATTATCCCACAAATCTGCTTCTTTATGGAAGTTCGAACTTCTAGCATACTTGTAGGATCTTTTAGAGTGTAAATAACAAATTCATAACCAAAATCTTTTAGTGATTTATGGTTCATTTGTCTCTTCTGAGTTCATACTCAGATTCATCACCCCCACTAGTTTCATTATTTCCAATAGCAGGTAGGATATCACCCTTACTATTTCTTAAATCAAGATTGAAATCTATTGGCATCAATGGATTCCACAACAGAATGAGTATTCAAATCAAAGGAACTATGTGTTTTATTGTTGACAGCATAAAACACACTCATATATATGTTCTTGTAGTTATCATAGTACACTGATTCATAACTCTACCATAGGCATGCGACATATTGAATAAACCAGTGCAATCATTGATAATGCGATAAATCATTTCTCGTGTCATTTAAATTAGCATCTCAAATAACTAGACAGAGAACTCTATATAGCAATAATTTATCTATTGTCTTTCCATCCTGTTTACCCATATCAAAATAAATCAGATCTCTCGATTATGATTCTCTAACCACATATTTATGAGTCTTTTAACAAAATTCACTTTTATCTCAAGTGTTAAGAATAATATGGGAATGCATGTCAACTTAGATATTCTAATTCTTCATAAAGGCACACATGCCACATAAAAGAATACATCTTATTTGGTTTACCCAATTCTTACTTCTAGCATAGTCAACGACTTTCCATAAGTAGGGATCACCTCCACTTTACCAGAACCATCAATAGTGTGGTGAGGGTCATGCCCAATCAACACTTTCATCTCACACCTCAATTATGTATGATTGAGCTTAGCTCGGTTATCACACACATGCTTTGAGGCGGCAATATCCAACAACCATTCTTCAAATTACCCTTAAGGTAAACCTCTATCATCACCTTTATTCTACCAAATCCTCTTTTTTAATCAAGTCAACCTTGTACTAGGTTAAACTTGTTCTTACATTTTGTGCCTAGTTTCCCGTGATTTTAACAAGGAAACGTAATGTCATTCTTAGAAGAATGGGTGAGAATTTGGTTACCATGAAGGGTACCATTCTAATTGGTGTGGATCTGGTTCGTATTGCTACTCTTATTCTTGAAACTTTAATGTTACATAGCAACCTCATTGGTTCATGTAGTGAACTGGCAACAGTACTTCTTATAATCACTATGAGCAATTAACCCATTCTATTCCCATATATTCTTCATGTGCACGCATTTAGACAAATCATTCTATTCCACAACATATATTCAACTTATACTCCAATCATTGAGGTAATACTTCTCAATGTCGACATAATCATGCATCAATTCTCGTTGTCTTTCTAGCATTCATAAGGTGTTTCAATTCCATGCATAAAGACATGCAAAATAGATTCTGATATATCATTCACTAATAACGTACGAGGAAAGTTTTAGTTCTTACCTCTTATCGAGAAATCATTGCATTCTGGTTTTGCAATGGATAGCTAGCATGTGGCTTAGCTTCCAATTGATACTCCTTTATTTGAGTTCCGCTTCCACTGAAGCTCAAACCGTCCACTCCTTGGCCCTCATAATTCCACTTTTAATTGCCCATCACAACCCACCATTTTCGTCATACTCTTTTCAGAGTCTAGCATCACTACTGATGCCACAGTCAAACGGATTTCTATGCCAATGCCATATGCCTCCCACATATCAGTAGGGTTCGAGAGGTGAGGTTGTTAGCTTCTTTCACAGCCGCCACGAATGTCAGAACAGCTGAAGCTTTTCCTCCCCAGCAGTTCTTCCTTTCCTTGGGACTCCACCAGCCTCGACGCTGAAGCTTTCCTTATCCTGGTGGAACTTATGGACATGAGCAGTTATGTGCGCATGAACAGATAATTAAACAAGAACAACTAATTATGCATGAGCAAATAATTGGACAAGAGAAACTAAACTCCATGTATATCTCTCTTTCCATCGTCATTGCCTTGTCACCCGCCGCGTGTGTCCCGGGGCGAGATTGATCTATGGGAATGGGAGCTGCCACACATGGAGGCTACACGAAATATGGAAATTAAACCTCCTTTTGTTCCCCTCTTCAATTTCGTTCTTTCTTCCCAGGGAAAGAATTACTTTCCAATTAATCATGTGGGATGGTCAGATTATTTCCCTTCTTCCCATGCGTATATCTCCGTGCGCGGAAAAAAAAACATCAAAGCGTGCTTCTCGGCGCCACCAACAAACGATCCGGATGTCGGATCTTGAACCATCCTCGTCGTGAATGCCTCCGGAGTATATCAGCTTGTTCCGCGACGGGGAATTAGGTGTTCTAATTACCCAGTGTCGCCAATTCCAGTAACAGGGGTTCTCCAGATACGAGCGCAGTGACGGCGGGATGCCACAATTAGGTGCCAAGATCGGTCATCTGTTCGGTACACATGACAGCAACCAAGCGTACTAAAATTGTTGGAAACTGATAGACCATTGATTGCACATGTTTATACCTCCATTCTTGAGCCATTTGAGAGTCGATTCTCGTGTTTTCAGCTGATTTCACGCTAGGTTGTGTGTTGATGTCATATTTCAGGACTTGGTGTTGACGTAAAGGCGAGGAAATGAATTTCGGG